CCCCCTGCCCTCCCCCTCCAGCCCCCCAACCTCCCCCACTGCCCCCTGGAGCCCAGCGCCTGCAGGAGACGGGGGTGAGACCGGGGCGGGGACCCCCAATATCCCCTACCCCTCTCCAGGCCTCCGACCTCCTCCCCCCGACGCCCTCCAGCCCCCCGACCTCCCCCACTGCCGCCGGGAGCCCAGCACCTGCAGGAGATGGGGGTGAGATTGGGGTGGTGACCCCCCAATATCCCCCCACCCTCCGACTGCCACCACTGCCCCCAACCTCCCCTCCCATAGCTCTGATCCCCCCAATCCCAGCCCTGATCCTGCCCCCAAACCTGCATCCCAACAGCCAACCCCCCTGCACTTCTCCGCACCCCCCTCACCGCCTGCTGCTTCTGCTGGAAATCCCGCTCCCGCTCCAGCCGGTACCCCTCGATCTCCCCCTGCGCCTCCTCCTTCGCCTGCCTCAGCCGCCGGGCCTTCCCTGGGGGGACAGAGAACCCAGGAGTCCGGGCTGCCCCCCACATCCTCCCTGAGTTGGGAGAGAACCCAGGAGTCCGGGCTCTCCACCCCCATCTCACCAGTCTCCCAGGCCCCCTCCTTGGTATGGGGGGAAACTTCCCAGTGCCCCCAAGCCCCTGGAGGATTCTGGGGGGGGGATCTGTTCATGGGGTCTCCCACCCCCCATGTCTGCGCCCCCGCAGCTGTGACCCCTTTCGCCAGTTCCTCCCCCCTCCCTGCTACCAAACCCCTCCCCGACCCCCAAGTATCACTTCTCCCCTGCGACCCTCAACTGGCCTGACCCCCTGCCCCCCGTATCCCCCCAGTTAGACCCCACAAAGCGCCCCTCCCTTTCCATCCCTAGGCCCCCAGCCCCCCCGCCTCATCAGATCAGCCCCCCCATGGCCATAATCCCCATCCTCTCCCTGCCCCCCAGCCCCCCACCGCACCTCACAGCCTCATCCCCTCCCCCCGTCCAGACCTCATCACCCCATCATTCCCCCCACTGCCACATCCCACCAGCCCCCCACAGCCCCCATCACCCCATCCCTCCCCGCCCCTATCCCTCCCCTTCCCCTCCAGACCTCATCACCCCATCCCTCCCCCCACCACCACATCCCACCAGCCCCCATCACCCCTCCCCACCCCATCCCTCCACTCCCCCTCCAACCCCCATCACCCCATCCCTCCCCCT